TTCCATGAGCGCTGCTGTTGTGTAGTGGGCTCCAAAACATGGCTGTCCCATATACAATGGAATGAAATACTGCCTATTGTGATTGATGGGGTTTTCATTGGCTGATTTTTGGAAGTCGATTGCAAGGTCTTTCTTCCTAGTCCAACTTTGTCTGGAAGCTCCTCTGAAGTCTGTTCAGCAACATGCATGGACAGACAGGTGGTGGTTGTGCCTGAAGTATACTGGTCTAGAATTGAACCAGGGTCTCCAGCATGGACGGCGAGGAGTCCACTCCTGAACCCGCCCCCAGGGTGGATGCATAGATTTACTTCAGTGGCAAGCCTTTCTTTTCCAAGAACTCAAAATTCCTTCTCATGTTCTTCTCGAGTTTTCCTTCTCCATGAATCTATTCCCATTTCATCCCTCCTTGGAATCACTGTGGCTGGGCTGATGGGTTGAGCATTTCACCAGCTCCCACCTTCCTTACTCTGAACTCTAGGAGGTGCTACATGCTCCAGCTGAGAAGAAGGCTCAATTCATGCTGAAGGAGCTCAAGGCTTGCAGACGTCTTCCCCTCTAACATAGGGCAGTGTGTGATACTGCAGATGGATGGATGTCAAGGCAGAAGAAGAGAATGCTACCAGCTGGAGCTTGAGAAACACCTACTGGATGGATGGACTTGAGTATAAACTGCTTAACCTGTAGAGTCCTTGATTGTTCTCTTTTGAAAAATGATGGCATTGGATTGTACTAGAGTAGCTAAAGATAGCTGTTTAATCTTAAAAACATCTGACTCATTATTGATCAAACGTCTTTATATGTACATGGCTGTGTTAAATGTTAGTTTTGGAGTTTAGGATTCTCATAGGCAAGTCCTACTGATATGGACTAAATATCCCCAAACAGTGCCTGGCATACTTCCCACCCCATTTTTTACTGCGGTGAAATTTGCATAACATAAAATTAATCACTGTAAAGTGTATGATTCAGTGGCACTTAATATATAAAGGGTTAGAATAGAGCGATGATTTACTCCGATTGCATTTTGTTGTCATAGATGGTGTGCAGCTACAAACTGAAGGCTTGGAGGTTTGAACTCATCCAGAAGTGCCTTGGAAGAAAGACCTGGTGATCTGCTTTAAAAGATCACAGCTATGTGGAGAACAGTTCTACTCTGACAAACATGAAGTGAAGTTCTACTCTGCACACATGGGCCATCATGAGTTGGCATCAACTTGAGGGTACTAGGCAATCACCCACTGTTGTTAGTTATGTGCTGTGGAGTCGGTTCCAGTTCATAGTGACGCTGTATAGGGTTTCTGAGGCTATATATCCTTACAGTAGCAGAAAGCCTCATCTTTCTCCTGTGGAATGGTGGTAGTTTCTAACTGCTGACCTTGAGGTTAGCAGCCTGACTGTTATTAAGTGCCGTCAAGTCAGTCCTGACTCATAGTGACTCTGTATAAGGTTTCTGAGGCTGTAATTCTTTGTGAGTGCAGAAGGCCTCACTAGTTTCAGGGAACTAAGCTACTTTCTATGTGAGAGGTTTTAGTGGACACCCTCCCTGTATAACATCCTCTTAGCTTTAATTTTACTACTCAACTTTTTACTAGCGTGACCGAAGACAACAAAAAAAGAAGAAACTAATCGACACTGTCTCTTCCCCAAGTTCTTTACTCTGTGTCACCCAACCTTTCGGGCCTCCATTTTCTCACTCCTAAAATGGGGACAATAGTATTCATCCTGAGTGTTCTATGGATCAGAGTAAAATGATGTGATGTGTGAGAAAGCCCTTGGTTAACTTTAAAGCCGTCTTCCTCTCCAACCCTCTGTTTTAGTCCTTCTGCCTGAATCCATTCCTTCCGTAAATGAGCAGTAGGATTGTGTCTTCTGTTCTTTGCAAAGCAGATCTCAGCAGAGGTGCCCAGCTGAAGTTGCTAGTGCTCAACTACTAATTAAAAGATTGGATGTCTGAATCCAAGCAGAGGTGCTTTGGAAGAAAGTTCTGGCAATCTCCTGAAAAATCAGCCACTTGAAAACCCTATGGAGTACACTTCTATTCTGACACACATGGAATCCCACGGGTCAGAACAGACTTACCAACAACGAGCACTGGTACACACAGTAAAAGAGGCAGAAACTTTGTATCTGTGCTGAAGAATGTACTAAGTTTCTAGAACTTGTGGCGCTACAGGAGAATGTACTGGGCCAGAGCAAGGCTGGTTTGAAGTGGTTCATACCCACCAGCCATTCCTTGGAAACCCTATACAGGGTTGCTATGAGTTAGAACTAACTTGACGGCATTTAACAACAACAACAAGCAAAACTTGACCCAGAAGAGCTGGAATCTTTTTCTTATAGCTACCAGCAATGACGTGTTGGTCAACTTACTTCATGCATCTGCAACTCAGTGACCTTATTGTAAAACGTGTGACCACAAGACTTGCTTCCCCTAGGGTGCTGTATTAAATATGGACATGTTTTGATAGGCAGTCAAAAAACATGTGACTTTTTTTCTTCCTTTGTTACTTTTCTCAACTTGCTGTTTCTCCTTCTAAGCCTCTGTACCTCACCTTACTTATCCATACATGGGGATAATAATACCTGGTTTGCCTAGCTCACAGGATTGTTAGGTGACTATGGAATAAAGGCTGTGGTAGAGCTTTGAAGAAAATGAGGTATAATACTTGTTTAAATAAAGATACGCTCTTCTCAGGCTCCCTGACCTTGCGCTGTGGAGTAGGGTCCTGTGTGCTCCCCACTGGCCTGGATTGTGTGTATGCAGTAACTATATTATTATTATTATTTGAATTGTAGCAATATACATACAACAAAACATTTGCCATTTCAACCATCTTACATGTACAACCCAGCCACATCAACCACACTCTCCACGTTATGGTCACATGATTAAAGTTACATAACCTAGCTTCTCTTGCATGTTTTGCAGTCCCTTTTATCTGTCACACACACACTCACCCTTTTCTTATGTCTCCCAGTCCCACTCCTCCCCTTCTCCCCCACCACACACTGAACCATCCACCCACTGTTCTCTGGATATAGAAATAGTGCTTGCCCCAATCCTGTGGGCTGTCAGAAGTCCCTTGTCACATGACCCTCCCCCTTACTCTCATGAATAAATACTCAAAAGACTCATTATGGGAAGATAAGGAAAACAGGAAGTGCTCCTGAAAGCCCTCAGCAACCCAGACCATGAACAACCCCAACCCCTCCAGAAGCCACCAGCGTCCTTAGCAACAAGCCACCAACCCCCACTGCAGCTGAGGAAGAGATGGCCATCTTGAACCTAGAAGAAACTGCTGGGCACAGTGGGACTTAGAACTGAGAGAGCAGGCTGCAGAAGCCAGGGAGCTGAGCCGCTGTATTCTGGGCACAATTTCAAGGCCAGCTGCAGGAAGAACAAGCAGTCGCTGTGCGCCTGCCTGCAGCTGGCAGTGGTTAGGCCAGGGTTGCCCCTCACGGAGTATATTTAAAGAGACCCCACCAGGCAACTGTGCCAACAGGAAAAATGCATACATATCTGTGTTGGCCACACACAGTCCCCTGCCCGGCCTCCCCTTCCTGCTGCAGCTCCTAAGCACAGTTTATATATAAATAGATAAAGGTTGTCTCCTCATACAGGTGCAGATGGTCACAGACTCATACCATCTTGGGACATATGCCCCAGGTTCCTGGGCCCCTCTGTCCTCAGTCTGGGCAGGCCAAAAGTTCAGAGGATTAGCTGGGATCCACGCCTCCCACCCTGGTGTCTTTGTAACCCAGCAACGGATCAGCAGAGGCAGGCAGAAGAGTCAAATAGAACTACACAGAACCTCTAGCTTTGTGTTTTGTTTGTAAAACTCTGGGTGAGCCGGCTGCTTTCCGGCAGGGAGTGGCGGGGCTTTCCCACACTGCTTTGGGCCAAATGCTTCACCTCAAAGGGATGCCCAGCCCCATGTAACTTCAAGAGCTGGTTCAGAGACAAAGCTGGTGGGCTAGGTGGGGCCCATCCTGGCTGAGTGCTCTGGCTGCCTCTTCACTTGTTTTCCTCAAGTGAAAACCAGGTTACAGGACTGAACCCCATGGGAAAGTGGGGTTGGTAGCTAAGAACTATGGGTATGGGAACCAATGAGCCTGAGGATCTACAAAGTGGAGGCAGGGATGGTGTGTATAGAAGTTTGGGCTACCAGGTAGCCACAGACATAGAGAAACTCTTCTGGCAGCAAGAGGATTCCACTAGAGCAAACAGCAGAAGCTGAGTCAGAGGTGGGAAATAGGCAAGCTTATCAAGCAGGGAAGGAAAGCCCACAAGCAAACTTTCTCAGGTAGGCTGCTGCAAGTGCCAGAAGAATTAGTCAAACAAGAGTGGACTTACAGGATTCGCTGATTTGTGGGTGCAAAATGAAAATGTGGGGCCTCTTGTTCAAACGTTAAAATGGATTTCAAGATGGTGACAGCAGAACATTAAACCAAGCACGGAATGATCTGACAACCATGGGGCCCCATGTGACTACAAAGGTCACACACCCATGAAGTGGGCCCTGGGTACCTAACAGTCACCTCCCAGAAGCAGCTATAGAAACAAGAGGGATACAATGGGGGAGGTCTGGATACTTCTGGCACAAATTCACATGCCCTCACCCATGCTGCCCTTGGCCAGCAGTCCTCAGGCTTTTACCAGGCATAGGACACTGACTCCATCCCAATAGCACCTCTCCTTGCACTGGTGGCAGCTAAGTTGTCCCAACTCTGAAGTAGTAAGGCCAAAGGGGGAGAACGGCTGACTTAAGGAATGGACTAGGGTGAGCTGACCGTTGGGTCCCAGAGCTTCAGGACCCTCTGGGCAAGCCATGAAAAAGCCAGGTACAAAAATTGGAGCCTTCTGAGAGAGGTAGGATGGAAACAGGATGGAGGTACAATGACTGGACTGTGCTCTTTATCACTCTTAAAGACCCAAGGCAGCATGTGCTGAGGGTGCACGTGATAGTCTTTGAAGCATTCCCCCTAGTTTGGTAACTTACCTCCAACTCTATGTGGTCATGGAGCTTCTTGCAGGTGGCAGCAAAGGTCTCTGAGGTGCCAAATTCAAAATACCACAGCTTGTTCTTCATCCTGGACCATGAAGCAGAAAGATGGCTCAATATCTGACCAGTCATTCCCTGGGTTACAAGCATCCAACTTACATACAACCTGTAGTTAGGAACCAACCCCCACAAAGCCTATTATATTAACAATTCAAAGCCCATACAATGGTTCATAATAACCAATAGGCACTACTTTGTGAATGTGCATAAAACATTATTATTGCAGCACTATCATGTTAAAGACGTTTGAGTATATCTGGAGGTGTTTCTATAATTTTTTTATGCACAGAAAGGTATACTATATGTTACACACTAAAGCAAACATTTGACTAACTAATGTTAGATACAAACGCTACCTGCTTCGATTTACATACACATTTGATTAAGAGACAGATTTAAGAACAGAATTTGTTTGTAATATGGGAACTGCTGGTACTTGAAATGGTCATGTGGAATGGGTTTGTTGTCTGGATTGAGAGGCCCAAGCCCTCAGCATTCCCCAATCTTAACATTTTCAGCATTTGTTAATCATATGATCAAGGGATGGAAATTTTTACCAACTGTTCTTGCTAGAAACTTAGAGAAAAGCCCATTCTTCTCATTGACATTATGGGTATCTGGGTGGACTGCCAACTGCTCTCTGAATGTCCTGGTCAGAGCAGAAGAAAGACCTCCTAGCTGTATCTGGATCAAAGGAAGAGTTCCATGAAAAATTAACTGAGGTGGCAAATAACAGCATGGTCTAGTCATTGTCCTTTGTAGTATGGATGATCATAGAAGGAATTCAGGCCAAGTCTTCTCTTGGGTATGATTAGGGTGAAAAGAAAGATCAGACAGGCTTTTGAGACTTTAAACTTCCATGGCCAGAAGGAGGACAGATCCCAAAAGATGTGCTTCTTTTGTCTATGATCTGGTTGGGTGGGGTACCATGGATTGAACTGTGTGTCTCCAAAATATGAGTCAACTTGACTGGGCCACGATTATCAGTGGCTTGGCAGTTATATAATGATATAATTTGGTAGTTATGAGTTGATGTAACCATCCCTGATGATGTAATCTATTGCGATCACCAGTCACTCCTAGGAAACCTTATACAGGGTCGCTATGGGTCAGAACCCACTAACGGCACTTAACAATAACAACAAAACAACCAGTTGTAAGGTAACTATTATGGGATGCAACATCCTTACTTAGGTCACAACCCTGATCAGATGTAAGAGGAATTTTTCTGGGGTGTGGCCTGAATCATTTTTAGCTTACAAGAGATAAAAGGAGAGAGAAGCGATCAGAGATGAAGGAACCGCCTACCATCAAGAAAGAAGATTCTAGAGTGGAGCATGTCCTTTAGACTTCTGGTCCCTGTGACGGTAACCTCTTAGGTCCAGGAGACCGATGTCAAGACACATGGAGATTTCCAAGGAACACCCAGCCCACAGATGTTGAAAGGTGACAGGGACCTCCCTGAGAGCAGTAGAAAGAGAAATCCATCCACTCAAACTGAAACTGGAATTTGAACCTTTAGTCTCCTAAACTTCAAGAAAATAAATTTCTAAGTTTGTTAAAGCCTCACACTTGTGGTATTTCTGTGATAGCAGCACTAGGAGACAAAGATAAGAGGGGAATTAGACTCATTTGTCAGTAAGTAAGTTGGAAAGAGAAGAAACAATGTGAAATGTTTGGTGGAAAGACCTCCCGCCACCCCACCTCACCGCTGCCCTTTCAATTGCATTTGCTTAGACCATGGCAAGGGGTTTTTGTTAAGTACCATCGAGTTCGTTCTGACCTATAGCGACCCTGTATAGGGTTTCTGAGGTGAGGCTGGTGAGCTTGAAACACTAACTTCACAGTTCAAATGCCTTTGCAGTCCAGTGCATTAACCCACAGCATCACACCAGGAGTCCCAATTAGGGGTAGGTCATGTCATATTTGCTTCAAAGTTAGAGCTCACTGTTTTTAACTAAAAATTTTTTTTCAATATTTTCCTAAAGAATTTTAATCAACAATGCTCCCATGTAGCTGTGGTGTCCCAACACTTGGCTATTTTGATCAGATGGTGCCACCAGGAAGTCTATAAAGGTATTCCATTCCTCCCAACCCAATTATCAGCCTATTATCCAGGGCTGGCTAAGAGAAGGGACACCTTCCCGTTTACAAGCTGACAGATTTGGCTGAGGAAGGATTAAGCAAATCACATTCCCCCTGGAGCTCAGGAGAGAGGAAGCCACCTTGCATGTTGCTGATGATTCCATCTAAGATTTGTGGACCTGGAGGAAAGGATTACACTTCAGAGGGAAAAGAGCTCTGTTTTTTTCCCTCTTTTTAGTCAATAAGCAAATGACCCTTCAGAATGAGAGACAAGATTTCTTGGTGTTTTCAAAGAGTCTACCTAGAACTTGAAGTGAGACTGAACTCTTCCATTCATTATATGAAGATTTCTTAGAACCTAGTTGTCATGGTGTGGCACTGTGAGTTAATGTGCTGGACTGCAAGGCTGGTTTGAACTGCACGGTTGGTAGTTTAAGTTCACCAGCTTGGTTGGCCCAGGACTGGGCAGTGTTTCGTTCTGTTGTACATAGAGTCAATGGCACTTAACAACAACAACAACAGTTGTTTAGGAGGCAACCCTATGTGGTACAGATGGTTAATGCACTCAGTTGGAGTTTCAAGTCCATCCAGAGGCACCTTGGAAGAAAAGCCTGGTGATCTACTTCTGAAAAATCAACCACTGAAAACCCCATACAGCACAGTTCTACGCTGACACATGTGGAATCAGGATTGACTTGAAGGCAATTGGCTAGGCAGTAGCCTCTCTAACACTTGGTATGTGTGAAAATATGCTCACAAATGATAAATGACGAAAACAAGAATAAGAAAAGTCTAGAGAATTATGCTCCATGAAGAAACTTAGAACTGGGCACGCTTCAACAAGACCAGAACATGCATACAATCAGTGTACACTTGAGATATCGATTCCCTTAACTTTCAGAGTGGGAGGTGAGGTCTGGGGCAAGCTGAGCATCCAGTATCATTGCAAGCCTTCTTATCTGTTATTATTCCAGTGTGCCAAACAAATGTTCCTATGTTCTGTGTGTGCCATGATGTGAAAAACAGTTGGAAAGCATTGTTCTAAGTTAGTGGATCTCTGTATGCACAATCATATGCATACAAATTATCTGGGGGTTTTGTTAAAAGAGTAGATTCTGCATTTTCTAACAAGCTGTTGATGATCCAGGGATCACACTGAATCATGAAGGTCTGGAGACTACATCAGTGGTTCCCAAATGTTGTTGTTTAGTGCTGTCGAGTCAGCCCGGACTCACAAAGGCCCTGTATAAGGTTTTTGAAGGGTGGCTGGTGAGTTTGAGCTGCCGACTTTGCAGTTCAAACCGACTGACCTTGAAGTCTCATGCTTAGGTGTCACACCAGGACTCCTTTCAAACATTAGTATTCATAAAAATTACCTGGGGAATGTGATTTAAAGGCTGCTTCCTAGGCTCCCATCTTTAGAGACTCTATAAGTTTTGGGAGAGGCCCCAGGAATCTGCATTTTATAAGAGCAGATCCATTTATAAGTGCCCAGGTGGTCACTATGCAGGTTGTCATTGGATAGGACTTGGAGAGACATTGCCATAGATTCCAGTGAAATGGCAAACATGGAAGGGGGCAGAGCCAGTTAAATCTCAAGGAAAGGATTCTCCAAGGAGGAAAGAACTAGGGTCAGTGACTTTCAGTAGTTAATGATGGCAAAAGACCAAGCAATAGGGAAAACACAGATTGTCATAAATGTCAAGGCTGAGCATTCCTCCCCGGCAGCGAGAACATCAGTGCAGCCAGGAGACCTGCATTATGATTCCATTTTCAAATATCACTGTTGGTCTGAATCATGACATTTGAAAGTTATTGCCAGGAGATTTAGAGTTTTAATAAAAATTTCCGGAAGCAACAAGCTATTTTTGCCCAGAAATGGTTCTTTTGACGATCTAATAAGGTTAAGAGGTCATGGTGAGGTCAATATCTTAGACTGACTGACAAGATCAAACCAACTTCTCATCCATTGCTGGCCAAATGTCCATTACTGACTGTGTAAGCTTAGGTAAGTTATTTCAACTTTTTGAGCCTCAGTTTCCTTATCTGTAATATGGAGATAATAAAAAAAGATCCACTTCAAAGGGTACTTTTGCTGTTGTTGCTAAGTGTCATTGCGTTGCTTCCACTCATGTTGTTGTTTCAGGAAACCCTGTACAGGGTTTCCAAGGCTGTAAATCTTTACAGGAGCAGAAACCTCATCTTTCTCCTGTAGAACAGCTGATAGTTTCGAACTGCTGACCTTGCGGTTGGCAGCCCGACTCACAACCACTACGCTACCAGAGAAATTGGCTATTGGATGTGGACAACTGACCTTGCAATTCAAACGACCTTGAATTTGTTTGTTTGTTGTTGTTGTTAGGTGCCATTGAGTTGATACCGACTCATAGTGACCCTACGTACAACAGAACGAAACACTGCCTGGTCCTGGGCCAACCTTACAATTGTTGCCATGCTTGAGCCCACTGATGTTACCACTTTGCCAATCCATCTCGCTGGGGATCTTCCTCTCTTTCTCTGACTCTTCACCTTACCAAACATGATACCTTTCTCCAGCAACCAGTCCCTCCTGACAATATGTCTGAAGTATGAGAGACGAACTTTGGCCATCCTGGCCTCCAAGGAGCACTCTGGCTGCACTTCTTCCAACACAGACCCGTTGGTTCTTTTGGCAGCCCATAGCACTTTCAATATTCTCCTCCAACACCATAACTCAAAAGCATCAATTCTTTTACAGTCTTCCTTATTCACTGTCCAGCTTTCACATGCATATGAGGTTATTGAAAATACCATGGCTTGGGTCAGGAGCACCTTAGTCTTCAAGCTGACGTCTTTGCTCTTCAATACTTTAGAAAGGTCTTGTGCAGCAGATTTGTCTAATGGAATACTCCTTTGATTTCTTGACTGCTGCTTCCATGAGTGTTGATGGTTGATCCAAGAAGA